GCAGTGAGGGGACTCAGGCAGGCCTGCCGGCAGTGGGGGCAACGTGGGCAGTTGCCCCGGGGTTCAGTGTTTCATAGGGCATGGGGCTCCCAGCTGTTGGCTGCTTCTGGGGTGGCTGCAGCAGCAGGAGCCCCAGGTCCCTTTGAATTCCGTGCCCCCACTCTGCTGGCTTTGGCGCTCCAGGTGATGCGAAGGGCTGAATGCCCTCAGCCCCGCCCCCCAGCCGTTCCCCTTCCCGCCAGAGAGTGAGAGGAAAACGCACGTTAGGGATGTTAAATTGCCATTAACTATTCGATTAGTCGATAGGGTGCCTCTGTCTCTGAAGTATGGTCCCCCCTTCTGCTCCCCAGCCAGCCGTTCCCCTTCCCGCCAGAGAGTGAGAGGAAAACGCACGTTAGGGATGTTAAATTGCCATTAACTATTCGATTAGTCGATAGGGTGCCTCTGTCTCTGAAGTATAGCAACAGCCCAAAGGTGAAAGCGCTGCATGGAGCCTAAGGTCAGCTGGGGATTGACCCCGGGCTCCCTGCGGCACTGCTGCTTTGAAACGCTGTGGGGAGCCCAGCGTCAGGCCTCATGCAGCGTTTCAAGGAGGCAGCGCCGCATGGAGCCCATGGTCAGCGAGGGAGTCCGCAGCTGATCCCGGGCTCCACACAGCGCTGCCTCTTTGAAACGCCACATGCAACCTGGGAACACCCCAGGTGGCTGTGGGCTGCAAGTGGCAGTGCCACATAGAGTTCTGGGTCTGACTCCAGTCTCCATGCAACGCTGCTGTTTGAAGCACTCCTCTCCTCCCCATGCCGCCTCTTTGTGATAGAGCAGGGGTGGGCAATTATTTTTTGGGCAGGGCTGGGCAGGGAAGAGCCAGGCCGGGTTGCTAATTTCTCAGTGAGACACGTAGAGGAAAGTGAAACTGCAGAGTCTGGGTTCTTTCAAAAAAGGTTTTTCTTCCCGAAAGAACCCCGTCTAGACTTTGGTTTCACTTTCGAAAAACCCTTTTTTGAAACACCGATCGGACGAAATTATGCAAATGAAGTGCGGGATATTTAAATCTCCGCTTCGTTTGCACTTTTGATTTTCTTCATTTACATTCCTCTTTCGGCAGAGGCGTGTAGTCTAGACATAGCCCATGTGAGCATTTCAGCTTTCATTTGTTTACAAAATGAAGTTTTTCACCCTCACATCTGCAGAGCCAAACATGAAACTGGGAACTCTCAAGCCTACGGCACCGGCAAGCAACGGAAAAGAATCCCGAAGTGGTTCTTTTTTTCTCTCTCAGGATTTGTAAGCCAGTGCATGATTTTGGAGGGCCTGACATGATTTTTGAGTGCTTGGGGGTGGCAATACTGTTTTGAATGGGCCTGTATGGCGTGTGGGATTTTCTCGTTAGTGGTCACCAGGCTTAAATTTTCATTCAGCCACAAGGTGTCACTGTGGCAAATTCACATTTAGTTGTAGGCCCCAGAATTGGCAGCCCAATAAAATAAAAACTAACGAACTCATCGATGATCACAGCCTGTGGTTCAAACCAACCAACCAACCAACCAACCAACCAACAAAACAACCAAACATACATTTCAGAGGCGCTCCAGTCTTGCTTGAACAGCCAGGTGAACTTGCAACTTTCCTCTGCATTTTAAATGCTTCTCTTGTAGGCTTCTAATACATTTACTCTCTCTCTCTCTCTCTCTCTCTCTTTCTCTCTGCACAGATTGTACTCTGACAGTTTTTAGTTCTGAAGTCCTTGGGCTAGATCTCCAGTTAATATAAACTGATACAGCTTTGACTTCACCACCAGAGGATCTGTCTCCAAATAATGTCAGTTTGCACCTTCTTGTCGTGAGAACCACAAATCTGATAATGCATACCCAAGGGGGGAAGGACAGAACCAGGTGGACCGTTTATTAGTAAATAAAAGATATTTATTTATGACAGTGATGAATTTATAGTATTTATTCTAAGATTTTTATTTGACCATGTCAGTGATGAATTTACAATATTTATTATATTTATTCTACGATTTCTAGTTGAACGTATCAGAAATATAAGGATGGGAATGGCAAGGGGAATAGTCTCTGCTCTAAAGATATCAAGCTATACTAATTAATAACAGTGATAACTACAAACTCTATGTAAAATCAAAACAACTATAACACTAAGCTATACAACAAGGAAAATCAAATCATACATACCAACTTACACAGCACACGGAACATTTCAAAGATATCTGTTCGGTTGCAAAGGTCTTGGTTATGCCTGAGAGTTGGGGGAGGTGACTGGTCAGTTGATCAGGCCGGCAGCGCTTTGAAGTATGCAGGAAAGCACACGCACGATGGTGCATGTGTTGCAAAGACCTCCTCGAGTGAACTGTGCGATGGGTATTAATCCCCAAGTCTGCACATCGCTTTCCCACACTTGCATATTACCATATACGGCCCAATGGTCACCAAATGGGGGTCTGTGTTCCAGGGGTTGGGCTGAAACTGTACAGGTTTCGTGCGACCAGGTAAGCCCCGCAGTTCTCACCCCAAGGTGACAGGTCGGAGAGTCTGAGGCTATT